CTCCCAGTCTTTTCCACTGTCAAACAGCCCTTACTGTGAGATGTTTAGTCAGAATCTGCTTTCTTGTAACTTGAAACCATTGGTTAAGGTCCTTCTTTCCAGAGCAGGAGAAAACAAGCTTGCTCCACCTTCCATGTGACAGCCCTTCAGATATTTGAAGATGGCTATCATACCTCCTCTCCATCTCCTCTTTTCCAGGCTAAACATACTCAGCTCCTTCAAGCTTTCCTCATAATTGTTGGTTTCCAGACCCTTAATCATCTTGATTGCCCTCCTTTGCACAAGTTACAACTTGTCAACAGCCTTCTTAAGTTGGGGGTGCCCAGAATCGGACACAGTCTTCCAGGTGTGCTCTGACCAAGACAGACTAGATCAGTACTATGACTTCCCTTGATCAGGACACTCAATTTCTGTTGATGCAGCCTAGAATAACATTCACCCCCCCCACCTTTTTTTGCTGCTGCTGCTGCATCATCAAACTGTTGACTCATGTCGAGGTTGTGATCCAACAAGACTCCTAGATTCTTTCCACATGTTCTGCTAGTAAGCCAGATGTCCCCCATCTTATTTTTTTTGAAGCTGGTTCTTCCTGCCTTACATTTGTCCCTATTGAATTTCATTTTGTAAGCTTGGACCCAGGTATCCAGTCAGCTAAGGCCATCTTGATCCTGATTCTGTCTTCTGCGGCATTAGCTGCCCCTCCCAGTTTGGTGTCATCTGCAAATTGGACATTTATAAAGACGCTGAACAATGGTCCCAAGACAGAACCCTGTGGTAGTATCCTGTGGCACCCCACTTGTCACTTTTTTCCAGGACAATGAGGAACAATTAATGAGTACTCTTTGGGTGTGGTCAGTTAACCAGCTGCAAATCCACCTAACAGTTACCTCATTCAACCCACATTTTACCAACTTCCTCGTAAGAATACCATGGGGGACTTTGTCAAAAGCCTGACTGAAATCAAGATACACTAGGTCCACAGCATTCCCCTGATCCACCAGGCTTGTGACTCCATTAAAAAAAAACCATGAGATTTGTCTCACATGACTTGCTTTTGAGAAACCCATGCTGGGTCTTAGTTATCACCACATCCTTTTCTAAGTGCTCACAGACAGACTGTTAAATTATCTGTTCTGGGCTTTTCCTGGTATTGATGTCAAGCTGGCTGGTCAGTAGTTGGCTGGGTCTTTCTTTCCTCCGATGGAGACAACATTTGCCTGCCTCCAGTCTGCAGGGACGTGTCACCTGTTCTCCAAGATTTTTCAAAGGTAATAGGCTCTGAAATTACCGAATTTTTCCATCTATAAGACGCCCCCATGTATAAGATGCCTCCTATTTTGGGGAACTCAGATTTAAGAAAATGGGGAGAGATGGCCCAGAGTATAAAACACCCCCAAATTTTTGACATTATTTTTTAGGGAAAAACCTAGTCTTATACACGGAAAAATACGGTACATCTGCAAGTTCCAGTAGTACCCTTGGATGCAGCTCATCAGGCCCTGGTGATTTGAATTCATTTAAAGTAGCTAGGTGTTCCCTTACTACCTCTTTTCCAGTCTTAGGCTGCAGCTCCCTCCTTACATCATTTATTCTGTTATCACCAGGTTGGGCATCACTTTCCTTTTGGGTGAAGACAGAAGCAAAGAAGGTGTTGAGCAATTCCGCCTTCTGTCTGTCAACCAGTAGCATTTCTCCATCTTCTCCACACAGAATACCTACCATCTACTTGATCTTCCTCTTGCTTGAAATATGGTGGAAGAAACCTTTATTACAGTGGTACCTCGGGTTACATACGCTTCAGGTTACATACACTTCAGGTTACAGACTCCACTAACCCAGAAATAGTACCTCAGGTTAAGAACTTTGCTTCAGGATGAGAACAGAAATCACGTGGCGGCAGTGCGAGGCCCCATTAGCTAAAGTGGTGCTTCAGGTTAAGAACAAACCTCCAGAACAAATTAAGTTCTTAACCCGAAGTAAAGGTAAAGGGACCCCTGACCATTAGGTCCAGTCGTGGCCGACTCTGAGGTTGCGGCGCTCATCTCACTTTATTGGCCAAGGGAGCCGGCGTACAGCTTCCAGGTCATGTGGCCAGCATGACTAAGCCGCTTCTGGCGAACCAGAGCAGCGCACGGAAACGCCATTTAGCTTGCACTTTGGCATGCTTTCGAACTGCTAGGTTGGCAGTAGCAGGGACTGAGCAATGGGAGCTCACCCCGTTGCGGGGATTCGAACCGCCGACCTTCTGATCGGCAAGTCCTAGGCTCTGTGGTTTAACCCACAGCGCCACCCGCATCCCTAGCACTGTATTATTATTATTAACTTCTTGTGCAAGCCTGAGCTCATTCTGGGCTTTAGTCAGCCTGACTTTCCTGCTGCAGCTGTTGGTGTATACTCCTCCTTTGTGATTTCCCCCTTCTTCCACTTTTTATAACTCTACTCACCTGGAAGCCCCTTATGCAGCCACACCGGTTTCTCTACATGCCTCTCATTTTTCTTTCTTGTTAGAATTGTCTGCATTTGACTTGGGTCACTTTATCTGCTTTCCCAGTTTAAATGGGCCTTTTTTCTGGTTTGTTATCTAGATGCAGTTATAAATTTAATTCAGACTCATAATGAAGCCATCTTCTATTTCCGTAAACTGAAATGACCTGACATGTATGGTCAGATAAAGGCCCTGTTGTTCATTTTGCCCTTGGAAATGATAGCAGCTCATAAGGAGTGCCTCTGCCTGAATCCGTGCTAAGCAAAGTTGGCCTCCGTGTGGGAGATCAGCAGACTTTTTTGGCAGACCTTTCTGTCTCTTCACTGGCATCCTCCACAAGTTCAGTTTACCGGATAACTTCCTGGAGAAGAAGCAGCTGAACTAGTTTTTTTCCTTCTGGAAAGAAATCTACCCAATGTTAAGTCTGTCCTGTGTATTATTGCCAGTTCCTTCAACTCTGTGGCTCTGTAGAAAGTCCTTCACATTACAGTATCATTAGCTTTGTCCAGTGTGCGTTGCTTGTTTGACAACTGTGCAAAGGTAGGGGATTGCTGGCTGCCTGACATGCATTTCAGGGCGACGGGAATGCATTTCTCTCTTCATTTCTCATGATGGCAGCAAACTGTCTTTTGACAAAATCCACCATGAACTTCTTGCAGAGAAGCTGGTAAAATGTGGGTTGGATGAGGTAACTGTTAGGTGGCTTTGTAGCTGGTTGACTGATCAAACCCAAAGAGTACTCATGAATGGTTCCTCGTCAGTATTAGAAGACACAAGATCTACCCACTTTGGAAGAATGGCAGATGAAGGTGATGGACTATATGGAATTGGCAGAAATGACTGGCAGAATCCGAGACCAGGGAGAAGAGTTGGTGGAAGAAGATTGGAAGAAATTTAAAGACTATCTACAGAAATATTGTAAAATTAATGAATGATAGAATGATGTTGGATAGCGATTAAGGGGTTTCCAGCTGTAATGCTCTAAGAGATATGAAAAAAGGGTTATAAATGGGTTAAAATTTAATGGTAAGGATTTGCTGAACCAATAAATTGAAGCGGAATACAAAAAAGGGAGGTATGAGGAGGTCCGGGAAATAAGTTAAAGGAAAATAAGTAACAGAAAATATGTGTGTTTTTAACTGTTTTTATTTTGTATTTTTCTATTTTCTTTTTCATTTTTACTGTATTATTCTAAAAAAGCTTAATAAATATTTCATTAAAAAAAATGAATGGTTCCTCATCATCCTGGGAAAAAGTGACAAGTAGGGTGCCACAGGGTTCTGTCCTGGGCCTGTTGTTCAAAGTCTTTATAAATGTCTTGGATGAAGGAATTGAGGGGATGCTCATCTCCAATTTGCAGATGACGCCAAACTGGGAGGGGTAGCTAATGCTGCAGAAGACAGAATCAGAATTCAGGCCTTGGTGGACCACAACCTTAACATGAGTCAACTGTGTGATGCAGCTGCAAAAAAGCTAATGCTATTCTAGGCTGCATCAACAGAAGTATAGTGTCCAGATCAAGGGAAGTCATAGTCCCACTCTATTCTGTCTTGATCAGACCACACCTGGAGTCCTGTGTCCAGTTCTGGGTGCCACAATTTACAAAGATGGTGGTGGTAGCCTCATTTAATTTATTTGCGTGTTCATACCCAGAGAACTCCCCCTTAAATAAAGACACATTTGACTCAAATTTTAGTTTTGGTTTTTGGCAGAATTTAGGCCACAACTTTATTGATTACAGAAAGGTGAGTGGTTGCATAGGCTCTGGTTCGACTAGCTCCCTGCACCCTTGCAGGTAGCACTGACCCAGGTCAGCCAAGGGTGAACACTTGAGGCAGGTGAAGAGCCTGGGAACGGACTCTGTTCACTCCCCAGATGCTCCCCTGGAGTCAGGCACGGGCACAACCCCCTCTCAAGGGTTGACCAAACCAAGTTGAGTCCCTGGATTCCTTTAACGGAATACCCTTCACATAGGGATGGCAAGACCATTCTCCCATCCCTATCACCTGAACCAGTGCCTATCTGCAACCTTACAATTTGTGATGAATTGCTACGTGGCAGGCGAAAACCAAATGGCAACAGCAAATCAGTCAAGTGGGGAAAATTCCTGCCATGCCCCTGTCCCAACGACAGACAACACACGATGGCATAGCAAGGTCAATCGCAAAAATGCCCCTAAAATTAGGGAGAGGTGGGCGGGTGTTCCGATGCACGAGCCGAAAGAGGAAGCTCTGGGACATGTGCAAGGGATTATATAGGTCCCTCAATCCGTTTAGACTGCACCCCATTGGCCAGATTAAACCCAGCAATGAGGGACCTACCAATCGGGTGTTGTGGCTATCCAATAGACCCACTACCAGGAGGTCAGTCTCCAGGTCTCACCACAACACGTGCCCTCTTTTAGGGAGGAAACGATTTATTTTAATTAAACAAATATTATTGGAGAATAATGAGTTCTAACCTGTTTGACACAGTTTGACACAGTTTGACACAGACTTTTGTTCTTGATTTTTAGGTGCTCTGTTTTCTAAAGATGGGAAGGCGGAAACTGGATCTTTCCAAACTGACAGATGAAGAGGCTGAGCATGTTTGGGAAGTTGTTCAGCGGGACTTCGATCTGCGGAAAAAAGAGGAAGAGCGTTTAGAGTAAGTGGCTAAAACATGAGAATAGGAACTTTGATGATTCTTCAAAAGAGAGGCCTTTAGTATTTGTCATTTTCAAGCTGTTTTCCAGCTAGCTTGAATCACTAATGCTAGGCACATGGCGAGGGGGCTACAAAAATGGCTGTGGGATAATATAGATAACGTCATCACAGAATTTGTTAATATTTGTAATGATACAGTTTAATTTAAATTTAAAACTTCTTAAATTTAAATAGGAAAATTATTTTGCCGCTTATTAGCTGTTGCATGCTAAATCTTATGGAACAGAAAAAGCAGACTTAAATGCATGAGATTCAGGAAATGACAGGCATTTAGTGAATGGCTGGAAAAATATGTACTGTACTTTTGTATTTTGCTTGGTCCATAGATTTATCTTTTAGACTTCTCTATGAGTTGGTTGGTTGGAAAATGCAGCTTATACAAAAACACTCTTTCCATCTTCTTAAAAGTCTCAGTTATGTGCTTCTGACAGTACATGTTACAATTTTTACGCATCTCTGGCTCTCTCAGTTTCAATGTCAGCCTTGACCACATGCGGCTGTGATGTCACTTTGGCACAGCAAGGTCAGAGCTACCCTCACAGCTCCCAGAATGCCAATTTAAATTTTTAAAAAGAAATATCTGTGTTTCCAGCCCTTGTTGTTTTGGAGATCTATTTAAGAGCCAGGCAGCGAGTGCTTGACAAAGCATCAGGAACAAGTTTAGGAAGAGTCCTTTCCGCGTGGCAGTGAATCATGTCCCATTTCTCATATCTCCACGGTGCTGTTAAATTATGATCATCAATTGCTTTTTTAATCATTCCCGGAAGAGCACAGGATGCTCACAGTACGTGGCGCTTTCCCTTTCTCTTCAGAACAACCCTGTGAGGTCGGTTAGGCTGAGAGACAACCACCATATTTTTCGCTCTATAAGACGCACCAGACCACAAGACGCACCTAGTTTTTGGAGGAGGAAAACAAGAAAAAGAATATTCTGAATCTCACAAGCCAGAACAGCAAGAGGGATCTCTGCGCAGTGAAAGCAGCAATCCCTCTTGCTGTTCTGGCTTCTGGGATAGCTGTGCAGCCTGCATTCACTCCATAAGACGCACACACATTTCCCCTTACTTTTTAGGAGGGAAAAAGTGAGTCTTATAGAGCAGAAAATACAGTAACTGCTAGTAGTTTTTCCTCAAGTGTTCAAGACTGCCCTGGGATGGATGGAAGGAACATTTCCATGGTATTGTTTTGCATTATAATTTGAAGTACAGAAATGTATAGTATTTTTCTAGGCACAGAAGAATTGTGAATGCATAGATGTAAAATGGAACCTTTAAGGAGTATATCCACAGCACTGCAGAAACGGTATTCTGGCAGTGGGGAGAACAGCTTAGCTCTGCATAAAATTCTCAAACAGCAACTTTTGAATGCTAGAAGGAAATGAAGAGTTAGAGTAGTTATTTTTCTTTCTTTCTTAATCCTTACAACAGGAGTCAGGGCAGAAGGGGGAGCTGCAGGAGAATTGGAGTGGCTTCGTCAGGGTTTTTAGTCCTCTTTAGAATAATTTAGTTTGATGGTGTTTTTACCAGAGAGGACAAGCTGCCATACTGCAAAATTAAAAATAAATCAGTTATACAGTTGGGAGTGCCTGTACCCTGCCTTGAAGAACAGAGGTGAGGATGTGAAAGAGAAGCATGCAGTTGCCATGTTTCTTGGGAAGAGAAGGGAAAAATTAATTCACTCCTCTTAAAGGAATTATTTACTTTGAGGGGAAGAGGCAGGAAGTGAGTCATCAGATGGATGGCTTCTTTAATGTGTGCACTGACATTCATGGTTTTACAGTATCCATAACGAGAAAAAGAAAAAGAAAAACTTTCCTATGCCCATTTACTATGAGTGGTCCAGGAGGAAATGCATTTTTAGACCATTATAACCCTTCTGGGCTTTTGTCAATCTGCTATAACCCTTTCCCTGAGGAGAATTCATTATATTCATTCCAGATTCATTCTCTCAACCTAGATTTCCCAGGAAAGCAGTACAAATTATATTCAAATAGGTGGCGCTGTGGGTAAAACCTCAGTGCCTACGACTTGCCGATCGCATGGTCGGCGGTTCGAATCCCCGCAGCGGGGTGCGCTCCCGTCATTTGGTCCCAGCGCCTGCCAACCTAGCAGTTCGAAAGCACCTCCGGGTGCAAGTAGATAAATAGGGACCGCTTACCAGCGGGAAGGTAAACGGCGTTCCGTGTGCTGCGCTGGCTCGCCAGATGCAGCTTTGTCACGCTGGCCACGTGACCCGGAAGTGTCTCCGGACAGCGCTGGCCCCCGGCCTCTTGAGTGAGATGGGCGCACAACCCCAGAGTCTGTCAAGACTGGCCCGTACGGGCAGGGGTACCTTTACCTTTACCTTTAATAGATCTGTTACTGCAATCTGGAGAGTTTTTGATCCCAATAAAATTACACGACCTCCTTTACTTCTACTGTCTTTGTAAATCTTACATCCAGTGTTTAGGGCAATCCTCCTTCCCCCCCCTTGCTGCCTCCATTGCATCCTCTTCGTACTCCCAAGACGAGATCTTTTGAGTGGTTTGAAGCTAATTATACACTAGCCCTAAGGGGGGGGGAGCCACTCAGTGACCTGCTGTGATTAAAAATAAATCAGTTATACAGTTTGGAGTGTCTGGACCTTGCCTTGAAGAACTCTTTGTATGAGTTTCAGTTGGTGCCACTCCAGGATGTGGAAAAGGTGCTTGGCCAAGATTGTGTGGCTGCTTGTGTGCTTCATGGCTTATACTACCCAGCAAGGAGGTGACGGGGTGGGCCAAGGAAATGACTATTGCCTTGTTACAAGAGGGTGGTGGTTGCAGGCCACCTAACAGGCCACTGGGCGTGGCCGTTCCTGAGAAGAACTTTCCATGGATCTTGAAGATCCAGATCATGACTTGCAAATGTTCCCTCTTGGGTGAGCTTCTTATGCAGGCAATCTGCAGCCAGGCCCAGGCGCTCCAGGATGAGTGATTTTCTGGGTCCAGTTCAATGTGGGTTGAGGCCCGGTTTAGGCACTGCAATTGTCTTGGTTGGCCTGCATGATTATGCTTGTCAGGATGGAGACGTGGAGAGTGTAACACTGTTGGTGCTTGATCTCTCAGTAGCTTTTGATACCCTAAATCATGGTATCCACCTGGAGTGACTGTCTAAGTTGGGGTGGTCAATACAGATGACATGCAACTCTTTTTCTATGGGAGTAGTGATACATTGGTGCTTGGCTGCTCTAAAAGACAGGATAAAGGCCAAGAAACTAAAATTCAATCCAGACGTCATGGCAGAGACACTGTTAGCAGGTGACCTCTGTTCCCAGATAAGTAGTGTTTACCCAGTCCTAGATGGGGTTGCTCTCTGCTTACAGCTCATGTTAATAGTTTGTAGGTACTCTTCGACCCCTTGTTGTCAGGTGGCCTCCATGGTTTGGGGTGCCTTCTAGCAGGTTCTGTAGATTTTTTAGCATCCTATCGGGGCTTTTGGGGGTTGATCATTTCAGTGCTGATCAGGCTTACGCTTGTAGTGGGAAGTGAGGTTCCAAATACTGTGTAATCACTTTCAGGGTTTTGGTGGCTAATTGTTTTGCACCTTGCAGGAAGCTATAGGGACATACAAGTGAGCAAAGGCTCAGCATGAAAGAGCTCCATGCTGGTGCATGTTGCTAAACTCACACCAACCCGACTCCCCTCTTCGCCGACAGGAGAGGAAAGAAACCTCACAGCACCAGCTTGGCATTGCATGCGGACGAGTGTTTGTGGTTTGATTGTCTCCAAACAAGCCATGAGAGGAGGTAAAGGTTTGTTATTGGCTTCCTCCTGTGGTTTGTCTGGAGAGAAACAAATGTGATGCTTGTTCCCCTGTAGTGCTACAACGGGGTGGAAATGAAGTCATACTTTGTAACTACAGTGGTGCCCCGCAAGACGAATGCCTCACAAGACGAAAAACCCGCTAGACGAAAGGGTTTTCCGTTTTTGAGTTGCTTCGCAAGATGAATTTCCCTATGGGCTTGCTTCGCAAGACGAAAATGTCTTGTGACTCTTGCGATTTTTCCCCGCTCCCCCTCCTTTTTCTAAGCCGCTAAGCCGCTAATAGCCTTTTAGCCGCTAAGCCGCTAAGCCTTTAATAGCCGCTAATCCGCTAAGCCGCTAATAGGGTTGCTTCGCAAGACGAAAAAACCGCTAGACGAAGAGACTCGCGGAACAGATTATTTTCGTCTTGCGAGGCACCACTGTATAGTTTACTGTGATGTATGACTTGTCTTGTCTCTTTCGCCTTCCACTGTTGTTTGTATCTGATCCCTATAGCAGCCTCTACTTTGCTATGCTACTCATGGTCCCGATGCTTTGGAATTTAGCCTACCAATTGTGTTCTAATTTGCTGATGCTAACTTTATGGTCCAGCTAAGCCCTAGTGCTAAGAGTTTTCTGACCCTAATTCTGCAAAGACTCAGGGACATTTCATGCATTCATTCTCAGTTTAATATTCTCCAGTCAGAGAAAAGGTACTGTGGGGATTGAAATGTGTATTATCACTGTGTGGGGATTTCTGCTATTGCCACAGTACCCAAAAATGGCTGCAGAGTGGCTAAGCCTATGGTTGCCTGTGGATAGTTGGGTGGTTAGAATTGTTGCATGAACCACTTAGTTCACAAGGGTTCTTCTGCATGTGAGCAGCCAATGGCTCCTGCAATTGCACGGGGATAAGTTTGCATGAGCCATCACTTGTGCAGATACACCACTGCTCTTCTTGTAGTTTGGGGAACTGGGAAAACTGCTGCAAAGCTTTACAGCCTCCCTGTGATTAGAGGGCTACACCTGGTTGCATGGATGGGAATCTGAGAATTGGCTTGCCTCTAACTATGTCTAGTAAAAATCGTTCCTTAACAAGTTCAAGAACTGAGAGCAAAGATATTCAGATTGCAAATCTGACTCCAGGAGCAGGCTTGGAACACATGGTTGGGATAAAA